CGCCTTGTCCTGCTGAGTCTCCCAGTGGTGTCCGTTTCTCCAAATTCCTTCTGGTTTGGCCGGAAAATGCAATTGCAGGTCCGGATTTCGCACAAAAAACTGGACAGTTTTCTGCTTCACTTTCTGCTCGATTTCTGGACAATTTTTGATCAATTTTATGGTCTAAAAACCACCCCAACTCGCTCTGATACCATTTGTAAGATTTTGGGGCTCCAACCAACCAATTTCCGGGCTCAGAAAACAACCAAATGAACACCACACTTCCAAGGCTCGACCCAAAACTCCTACACCCGATTGCTCCAAGATATACATCCCCACAAAGGAGATATGGTGGTGGTGATGGCAAGCCCACAAAGGGAAGAAAGAGACGAGGATAAAAATGGTTGGAACTCACCTAGAAATCCACCAATCCATAACCCGATTGCCTCTCTCTCTGCTCCTCTCTCTTGCACACACTACACACGGCTGGAACACCAACATATATGGGACACAAAATAGGTTACTCAATTTGGGCCAAACACTCTTCTCCAAAATGGGCCAAAGATATCACTAATGGGCTACCAATTAATTCCCACAACTAACCAACTAAATGGGCTAATACCTATTACCATCCATCCCAAACTAAACTTAGGCCATCCAAAAGTATAGGTCGTTTTCGAGTCGAGCTGAGTCTATGGTGTCGCTAAATAATCCGACAACTGTTTTAAATCATTGCCCAAATTTATTAGGTATCAAAACCCAACATTATCCTCGGAGTATATTATCCTTACTTGAAAACGGAAAATAACAAATGGATTTTTGCTGCATTATATGGGCTGAAATTTTTCTTCGCCAATTTTGGCCCCAAGAGCACCACATTTGTTCTTCCGACGGAGCTATTCCCGACGAGATTTAGATCCACTTGCCGCGCACTGAGTACAGCATCAGGGAAGGCAGGGGCCATGATTGGTGCATTTGGAGTGCAAAAATATACATAGGATGGAAAAGTTAACAAAATTAGGATAGCCATGATGCTTTTGGCCTTAACAAACTTGGTGGGGTACTTCTGCACTTTACTGGTGAGGGAAACCATGGGACTGTCACTAGAGGAGATATCCGGGAGGGGATGGCAGCCTGAATGAGACAAAGATGCCCACTCAGTCACTTCGATGGACGACGGATACAATGCAACCTGATGCCGTGTCACATGATTCTGATTAGGTGTACGCCACGCGGTGCTACTTGTGTCGCTAATACGATGTCAAGTTCCTCTAGGAGGTAACTAAAATTTTCACAAAATACATATTTGCTAAGATAAAAGTATTTAAAACCTTAAAAGTATTGTTTAAATATTATAGATTTTTATCATGGTAAAAATTCTTCATTGAATAATTGTAAGTGTAAAATTCATTATGTAATTTCGTGTTAGATATATATATAGGGTCTGTTTGGGCCAAATTTTAATCTGATTTAATTTAAGTCAAAGTCAAACCATCAATATCAACCACATTTTTTATAGGTCCCACATCTTTTCAACATCACATTTCAAAAACTAACATCACAATCCACTTAAAATTTGATTTAAATCTACACCAAACACCTTCATGATCTAATAAATAAATATTGAGCAATATATCAATAAATTCATTATTTTAGTATTTGTAATTATGTATGAAAAAAATTAAATATTACAAACACGAAACCCTGTTATGTAAATAAAAATAATCTACAGAGTATTGATGCTTAGCTTATGTTAAACACCAACGACATTACACATAGCGGTGGCAAAAAACCTCGGATGGCTTGGGCTCGACTCGGAAAAAGCTCGAGTCGGGCCCGGCTCGAGCTCGGTGGAACCGAGTCCAGGCTCGGGCCGAGCCCCACTTTGGGGAGTCGGCTCGAGCCCGGGCCAGCCCGTGGCAAGCCTCCTATAAAAAAATAAAAAATTTGGAAGGCAGCTTGCTGCCTGGATGCAGGCAACTTACAAGCTGCTGCAGGCAGCAACAGCTATTTTTAGCTGCCTGCAAAGGCAGTTAGGAAAGAATAAAAAAAAACCAAAAAAATGGAGCCGGCTCGGCTCGCTAAGGCTCGGGCCGAGCCTCATTTTTTTTGAACGGGCTCGGCTCGGGCCAAAAAAAGCTCGAGCTCGGCTCGACTCGTTGACATCACTAATTGCACATCAATCCATTGATAGATAATAAATTCAATATTTGTGGATATTAGTATTTGAATTGTATTTGTTATTCACCACTGAATTTATATACAATATCATTTATGCTTAGCATAAACTAAGCATCGATACTGAGCTAATCATTCTTGATTTCGTATTCGTGAAAAAATTAGTAATAATTGTTAAGAGTCTTAAATTTGTTTATTTTATAGTTTACTAAGTTATATTTGTAATAAAACATTACACTATATAGTAAATTTGTTATTAATATTTCAAGTAATATAGCTTTTAAACATTTGTAATTCTCAAATTTTCTTTTACAATAATTCTCAGATTGAAATACATCCATTAAGAAAGAATTTATAAATATTTTATTTTTATAAATAGATAGAAATGAATAAGGGATAAGTTGACAGTATTAATAAGTCCGTTAGAATGTATGACTAAAAATGAAGTTTCATCATTTAAAAGACTACTTCATATATAACTATTACACAAAACTGAAATACAAAGAGAAAATTTCTAATTTTCTTTAAACCCATTTTCAATCGCTCATTCTTTAATATAACAATTTTACACGTAAATTTATAACTTTTCATACTTTTTAATCACATATTCTCCAAAAAAGTCATTATTAAAAAAATTATTTTTCCGCAAAAAATGAACCTCAAACCATGGCTGAATTTAGACTAAAGGCAATGGAAAACTATCTATTTGTTGAAGGATGTTAAATCCAACATTTGATGCAAGACCATATTTTTGGGCTGAAATATTCTGGCACCTTTTATTCCCTAAACCTCTGCACCTAAATCTTATCCCTTATTCGATGTATTATACAAACTTCATACCTAAATATTTAGTTCTTACACACAACTCAAGTTGAAAATTTTCATATGAAGTTCAACACGTGTTGCCTTTGGCAACATTCATGAATCAAGATTTCATAGCAAAATTTTCGAGAACAATTATTCATCACGTTTTCTTTGAATTTTAAAATATAATTTTACAAGTTTGAAATTCGAAGTAAATTGCTCACGTTCAAGACTGCAGAATAATTCAAAAGTTATTCTCAAGTAAAAGACGGGATCTTTTCTTTCGATTTTCACCTCGTGGTTCTTTGTTTAGTTGCACCAAGTTAGCATAGCCCTTAACCCCAATATCACAAAGCCCTATTATTAGAGCTCTCTTCATCGTTTTCATAGTTAAAACTCATCGAGAGGGGAGGAGGGACTTGCGGGGTGGGGGATGGAACTACCCCCGACATTAAACTTCGAATGAAGGGAGAAATTACCCCCTATTTGAGCCCCATTTTTTAGAATAGGGCCCTGTTTGTTTCTGATTCTCAAATCAATTCTCAAATCAATTCTCATTTTCAACCACACATTCTTCAATAAAATAATATTTTCCATCACATCAATACTTTTTTCTTCTTTTTCAACCACACATTTCCCATCATATCACTATTCAAAATCAATTCTTCCCCCAAAAATCCATTATCAACCACACATTCTTCAATAAAATAATATTTTCCATCACATCAATACTTTTTTCTTCTTTTTCAACCACACATTTTCCATCATATCACAATTCAAAATCAATTCTTCCCCCAAAAATCCCTACCAAACAGGCTCTAGATTTTGTATTAAAGAAAAATGTGATTTTTTCAGAATGTGAATTTTTAAAAAAATTGAGTTTACGTGCAAATGTATTTTATTAGGAGAATGTATAGTTGAAAAAGAATTTGAAAAAAAAAATTAAGTTATTGGACTCGAAAAAGAGCTAAATAATTTTAAAATGAAGAATGTAGAGAGAGTCGAGAGAGGGGTCTCAATCTTGTTTTGGAAAATTCAAGGAAGATGGACAATTCAGACGTTACATGTAGGCTATTTCCATAAAAAAAAATGCCAAAAATTAAACCTACTTATATTCTATGACATTTTACACCGCGGGTTAGAGAACACCGTGCTCCATATGCATAAAGATGCTGGTTAACTAATTTCGTTGAATCTCTTGTTATCCTATAGTTGTCATAAATATTCGTCTTGATCGGATGATCAAAAGTACTTTTATAAATAGAGAATAATTGTTAGCTCTCGAATTGAATATCTCGAATCTCAACTTTCAATAATCATGTTTATCAAGATTATCTTACGAGAGAAGATAGTCTTGTGTTACAAAGATCTAGACTCCAACCAACCCCTCCCGACATGTGATCAAGGCTCCAAACCAATAAGATCTTGAAAAATCCTACATAATGTGTCACTTTAATAGGATATAATGATCAACAAACAACATTATAGGATTTAGATGACAAATAGTATTATACTTGTTGTCTAGAAACTCTAAAAGTAGGATTATGTGGCAGATTTATGGCTAATTATTTGGGAATATTGGAATTTTGGAACATGGGCAGTACAATTTCAGGAGGAAAATATACGCTTTAAAAAGAAGCCATAATGGGAATCATTGAAATATAGGAACACCTTTTGAATTTGTATGTTATTTGGGATTCAAGTTTCTAGACATATAATAATTGATAATGATGAGACAAATTTATACTTATTTTACATATTATAATATCAATTTATTTCTTTTCGTGTCCGATTCAAAACGAGGCATTTGGTTGGATACCACACCAAGTTTTGCGCAAAGAGTCAATTGCAAGAATATTGTAACAATCATTTCAATTTGCTAGTCAATCACTTGCAGAATCTTCAAAGTGAATTGAATCATGCTACATGTACATTTTCTTTGACAACAAGTTTGACATTGTGCCACGTGTCTTGACATCATTAGACAATTTGAAAAAAAAAAAAAACACATTCCCACTCATTTCAATTTGAAACTCATGTAAACCACAATGTACACAAGACAATGTACAAGTGGTTTTATCAGAGTGAATTATATCTCAAAGCCTGACACCCTTAATGTCATCTAAGCCCAGATAAAGGTTTAGGATTGACATGAATAAATTTTTTTTTTTTATCTTATTAGTTAAAGAAAATTAGTTAAAATTCTTCGACTACGAATAAAAGAGTTGTGAAAATTGAATGTTACAAAATTTTGAACAATAAAAACTTAACTTGAAAATTCATATTTGGCAAATCTTAAAAAATCTACTTATTAATATATTTGTAAAAAAATTAAATTAAATTAAATTAAATTTTAAGATAATTAACTTTTTGTTGGTCAAAATTACTCACAACCATTAATTCTTTTGTGGTTCAAAATGTTAATATGTTAACACAAAAAAAAAAAAAAAAAAAAGATTTACTTAAAACTAAGTGTTGCACAGTTTGTATGCTTAGTCAAGCATGAATCTTGAAAAGATTTGTGCAGTTGTTAGCAAAGCAAGAATAATGAGAGATTAATATAATTAAGTTATTGTCTTAATAAAGAGAAGGGAATTTAATACAAAAGATTATTCCAACTAGGCAGCCTTTTGGCTGAAAAGTCAACATCAAGGCTACCTTCAAAGTCTTTTCTTCACCTAATACAATTGAGAAATGCTATTCATCTCCACTGGGATGTATTCCCAGTCTATGTGGCGTTAATGTGACATTAAATGATAGGTGAAATTAAATAAGTCATTTAATTTCACATATCATTTAACCAATCATTTACATCCACATAGAGTGGGGATGCATCTCCACTGTGGATGAATAGCATTTTTCAATACAATTGGTCCATGGAAGATTCCAACTTCCAGACCAAAATTCATCCTCCGAAATATAAAATGTGAAAAAGAAAATATAAAATTACAATTGAACCATTTATTTCTCTATCAAAATCAGTATCTAAAAAGTGTAATGCGTGACGATGCATGGAAGTCAGGCTTCGACTTAGGTGAGGCATGAGCGTAAAAAAAAGTTTGTTTTTATTTTTTAATAAATATAAAAATTATCTAATAAATAAAAATAATACCCACCAATAATCTAAAACAGATTTATAGGAACTTTATTTCTTTTTTAAAAAATTTTCAACAAAAAGATAAGTTTCAAAATAATAATTGCATAATGTAGGTAGCGTGGAATTTAAATTTTATCTAACTTTTTATTGAACTACAATTCAATATTTTCTTCTTCATCTAATTCGTCATCCGTATCGCCCAATATAAAATCCTCCCCCTCGAGCCCCCTTATTTCATTATGAGCATTTCTAGTACCTCTTGTAGATTATAAGATATCATTCTCCACCCCATCGTTTTCCTCATTATCATCACAACCCTCTACAAAACTTTCAACATCACTTTTCTACTTGGCATAAATCCAAATTTAGTTTTTATTCTCCTTTATAGTGGGTTTGTCTCTTTTGCAGATGGAGATGTTACCGGCTTACTGTAGACAGTGTCGAAGTGGATATTGGATTTGGAAGAAAAAAGAATTTTTGAGACTTCTCTTTTGTTCAAGAAACTCTTTCTCTCTCTCCTTTGACTGTGTCAAAGGGAAGACGAGAGTGTGAAGAATGAAATCAGCCTTCTATGTTAGAAGAATTGAAAAAATAATAACAAAAAAAAGAAAGCGCTCCAATCAATCGATCAACGCTTCCAATGACCGTTTAGTTAGCTGCCAGACCCCTCATGCCCCTCATGCCGCCTAGGTGCGCAATTTACAACATCGATTGAATTACGAGTTAGTTGTTCAAAACATCTTTTATATATAGAATAAAGATTTTCTAGTAATTAACTTATAGAAAGTCTTGAATGATTATACATGTTGCAACCGTTGAATACTTGATAATCTAATGGAGCCGAACCTACTACAAGTCTACATCCATGGATTGAATTGGGCACATAGCTGTAGACCACGAACAAAATCTCTCATAAATGATTGGCTCATAACTACTATTGTTGATTTTATCCCGCAATTTGCTATGAAGACAAATTATTATCTTTAAACTAAACTAGCCTTAATATCTCTCTCATAGACACACAAAATTCCCTAATTGTGTGTAGAGCTTTCATGGATTGGATCTTGATTCGAATTAGATCCAAATCTGATGAAATTAATGAGAGATGAATTTATGACCTCAATCCGATAATCCGTTAACTAAATATAGCAAATATGTATATAGGTCAATCACATTCGATAATAATCCAATCTAATTTGTTATAAATAGCTGAATTGGTTAAATATTTTGTGACATGTTATTTGTCACTAAAATAAATAAATGAGAAAATAAAGAATTTTAGAATTTAAAAAAATAAGGTCATCAATTTTTATTTATTTTTTAAAAGTCTATCCATATGTACACCATTAATGGTTTGTACTTTGTAGTGAATTTTCTATTGCTTTTCAGAAAGTTATAAGTCATCCCACATCGATTTCCATTTAAAAAAAAGAAGAAGCTAAAACAATAAGTTATAAATACAAGACATGCCATCGCTTGAATTTTTCACTATTTGGACCTTACTGGTTTAAAATATGAGTCTAAATAATAAGTTAATTTCAATATTGGTTTATTGGATAGGATATCCGATAATGTAGCAAATCGAATATGAATTTAACAATTAAATATTCGTTAAATTATCAGATCGGATTGGATATGAACAGATTTGATCCATATTCGATCGATTGACCACCCTAATGGTATGTTTGGTTTTAACTATATTTAATTATAAACTAAAAATAAACAACAAATTCTTAGAGTTTAATCAAATCACGTAAAGCATTAGGATCCTGAATTGTTAATCTACTTAAATTTTCCATTTTTTCGTTGATAATAAATTCTTGTCCATAGTGAAAATAAATGGTCTCATTATAATCACCAATTTTCCTCGAGATCAATCAATTATATATTTATAACTTATTGTCTCTAATTAAATTGTGACCACATAAATATGCATTGATTCAGATAACGTAGAGAATAACTTATTGATAACCAAAAAATTGATTGCTACAGTAAGATTCTCTACCACACATTCACCAAATAAAATATTTTACACGCAAACCAATAAAGTTACTTTAATTTTTAATCACACATTCTCCAAAAAATACTATTCATTACTCTATTTTTCTCC